CGTGATTAAACATATAATAAAAAAATATAGTATGTATTATTTGTTTATTAAGACTTTCATGAAGATCTAATTACACTTTAGGATTTAAAAACATGAAAATATGGACCAACTAGAAAGTTCACAAACATTTTTGCAGCACTGTAAATTGCTGTGGCGAAGATGATGGGCTGCACACACTACCTGTTTTCAGAGAGCTGTTCAGCTTCCAGATGTTACTCAGTGTTCAGAATACCGAATTTGTCCTGCAAAATCCTCACTCCCGTTTTATCCGAGACCGTGCAGTCTGGATTAAATATATTTCGAAGGTATGTAAAGTCGATAACCTCTTGCAATTGCTCGCTTTCAATCATTTCTTGCCTTTTTACATGCTGTGTGAACATGCCACAGATATGCATGAGTGCAACCACAAATACAGCAAACACCCTATCTGGGTCTAGCCGTGTTTTTCATGATGTGCGTTTTCCAGCTGCTAGGAGAACAACAAAAGCACAACAACAATCACATTAATGGCTACTACCAATGAGTCAAAGGTTGCAAGGAAGGAGAGTGAGTTAGGATGCAAGGGGACTCAAGCAAAAGAGATGAAACAGAACTGAGTGAAAATAATATTAAAGCCATATCTCTGTAAGTTGCATCAATCATCTTCCACAAAATAAGGAAATTCAAACAGGAAACAGGAAAATATCATTAATTGAAAAATGAATACTCTAAACTCTTTTGGGCCTAGACAAATTGATATAAACACTACGGTGTACATGTTGTGATCCTTGGTTTATTTAGTTACACTTCAGAGAACTAACATTATTTCAAGAGTCCCCCTCCATCTAATTATTTTTACATATGTTTGAGGGAAAATGAAACTGCTATTTATTGTTTTGCCCAAGCTTGTTCTTCCCAGATTTGTACATTAAATACCTAAAGGCGGAAAAAAGCTTTTCATAAAACAAGTAAACCAAGCATTTTTTTAACAAAATACCATTTTGTTCTGCTACGGTAGTTGTGCTTTTACTGTTCTAGCAATTTTCTTTGGTGAACTGCCCATCTGGTGCTTTTAAAACGGATTGCAAAACCTAGGACAGTTCAAGCTCGCATCGAGAGGGCGCCAGTTTTACTGCAGCAACGCCCAGTAAACGGCACGTTCCCTCTGCTGAACCCCGCCTGCCAATCGCCAAAGCCACCTTGGAGCCCACACCAGACCACGGAGAAGACCGCTTCCCCCTGGCACAGCCGCTCAAGCCCAGACACAGAGCGGCGATCTCGCTGGCCTCTCTGCTACGCGAGGTCAGGGTCTGGATTCTCCCTCTGCCACACAGGAAATTAAGCCGGCTCCCAAGCGGTGATCTGCACGGATGGCTGCCGATTAAGAGCGGGCTGCGGCCGGCAAGCCGGCTGTGACAGAAAGCCGGCCTCCTCCTGGCCCAGCCTCGCATCCAGGGAGCTGCTGGGCTGTGAGCCAGGACGGTTGGAAAACAAGGCGGAGGGGCTCATGTTGCAAGAGGTCCCAAGAAAGCACATGGGAAAAGGGAAACAAAAACCCCAGTTCTTATGCAGCGCTAAATCAAACTCACGGTTACGACCGGTTATGGGCCACGGAGAAAAAACACAATGCTGTAATCTTACTGCGCAACGGGCAGATTTCAAGTTATTCAGCTGAGGGTGTTGTCATGCAAGCGGGACACCGCCCAGGGGGGGGATGATGGCAACCAGTATGGCCAAGGAGATGCTGGCTTCAAGCGCTGACTGCAAAAATGACAGAACTGGGACGAGGACTGACGGACAACTCCAAATTACCCTGGTATCCTGCTGGGATGCGCTGGTAGAATTGGCGGGGCTCTCATCACGCCACAAGGGGTCCAGCGTTCGCTGACTGAGGCTAGCCAAGTTAGTGGAGTCCACCTGAATCCTATATACAGTACTGCAGCACCACTTACCGATTGGTTTCACTGGAGTCGATAAGACCCAAGGGCATTGATCAATAGTTTGTCTAGTTTGTGTGTTTGATTTGTGTGCGAAATTAACCATTAAGATGGCAGGGAAAAAAAAAAACACAAAGCGTAACTTAACTTATTCCATTAAAATTAAGTGATGACATCAGTGAAGCCTTCCCTGATGACATGACGAGTGACAGCCTGGTGTTTTAATTCGGTAAGCACAGAGACAGCTGCTGATCCACTGTGATCAAAATGACTCTTTCCAAGTATATCCAATTGCAGTGTAGATTTTTTTTTTTTCAGATGGACCTGTTTCCCTTTGCTTGGCTCTGCAATCCACACTAACCCAATCACAACAAATCAAGTTACCCAGCAAAAGTATTTGATCTGTTTGCACCAAACGGTAGTCTTGATATCATAATTTCTCTCATTTTCTGTAATAACATCAATAAAGCAGGTTACCGGACTTGAAGCCCAGGGTCAGAAAATATTCCTGCCCCACGCCTGATTATAACATCCCTCCAGAGAACCAATAAATAACAGCCGCATTCCTAATACTCAAGCCATTAGAGGAGAAATGAATATCGAATTACACAGCGCTCTGACCAATTCAAATCGCATGCAATTTAAAGCACAAGACAATAGCAGAAAAGGACCGTGAAATAATGAGGCTTCTTTACCACCCCCCAGTTCTCACAAATGCTTCGTTAATATCCCTGGAGCAAATTAACTCATTGCAGGGAACAATTAGCTGAGGCATGATTAACCAATACATAATCACACCCATGCGTTGTACTGCCATATGGATAAAAAATACTCATATGTTTAATTGGTAACGTTTTTGCTTCAAGCTCCAAGAACGCCATACTTGACGCTACTAAATCTGCCCTTGGGTCATTAACTGAACTGCAATATTATTATGCAGACAGCATTTCTGGTTATATCACAGCTTATTACTGCTGCTAATTTGTTTAGCCAGTAAATAAAACCTGATAGCCAGTGACAGAAAGGAATATGCCTTGGCTAAGTGGTTAATGCTTTGAGTGGTCCCGCCACTGAGAAGGGGACATGAAATTCCCCAGAGCTGGCTGCTAGAAGTTGTCAATGTTGAGAAATGAACAATGAGACCCTCAGAGAAAACATCTGTAAATGCTGGATTTTTCCTCTAACAGAAATCACACAAAATGTGAGTTGGAGGCATCAATCTAGATAAACTGCTTATCAAACAATTCGACATCTAAAATAAATTCTATATTTTCAAATATTAAAACCCTAACAGTGCGCATACTCTTGCAATCTCTCTTTCTCAAGTGATCTGCAAGATTGGCCAGTCAATACCAACCCATAAATCCATTCATCTAGATTGATCGTTTGCTATTTTCCATCTCTGCATTGCCCTGTTTATTTTAATATCGTTTTACCAATTACCTTGTACTAGTATTGGGGAAAAAAAAGAATACTGATCATTTGGCAGATCTTCATCAACTGGCTACTTTGAAGCAGCAGCACTTAAATCGGTTATTCAACTAAGAGGGCTTAAAGTAAAATAACTTTTGTGCTATAAAAATTAAACCAGTTTAATCATCATGAAAAAACTATGAAAAAAATCCTTATGGAAGAGCAACTAGCAAATGTTCCAGATATAAAGGAAGTCAATTATAAGGATGTGTAGGCTATTTCTTCACAGTTAAAGCAAAACACGACCTCAACAATGCTTGTCAACTACTGTATTTTACAGCATTTTTCTGTCCTGGACAGAAAATTACACCTGCAAAAAGTGTTAACAGACAATAATGGCACTTATATATACCAGTTTGCATGTGTTTTCATTAACTGCTGTTTGTACCTTCTTAGAAATTGTGGCAAAGTATCTATCTCAGTTCTGTCCAACTCATACCAAAAGAAAAACAAGGCAGCTCCTAGACATCATCAGTGACTTTCATGCCTCGTTAGTTACAGATAATGATGAAAAAGAAGTTGAAGCAGAAGCCACCAAAAACATTCCAGACTGAACCATCAGTGGACAAGATCATGGTAACCCACTGCCTGGGATTCAACAGGAGTACTATGTGCAAGACTTCTTCCACATAACTGTACTACACTCCAGCCTGTCAGTGGTTACTCTTCTCCTTCCTTCCCATGTACAATACGATAAGTTAGTGCCCGATTTCTCAAAAATCTGTCTTGCATCAATCTGTCTTGCATGTTTCACAAACATGGAAACGTCCAAAACATACAAAATAGCACAAGCAAACATTACAGATAAATATAACATTACATAACAAGCCTCCGCCATATTTATTAATAATAATAATTATAATTACTTACAAGTGTAGTGCTTTTCTGGACACTCCACTCAAAGGCTTTACAGGTAATGGGGACTCCCCTCCACCACCACCAGTGTGCAGCCCCACCTGGATGATGCGACGGCAGCCATAGTGCGCCAGAACGCTCACCACACATCAGCTATCAGTGGGGAGGAGAGCAGAGTAATGAAGCCAATTCATAGATGGGGATTATTAGGAGGCCATGATTGGTGAGGGCCAATTGGAAATTTGGCCAGGACGCCGGGGTAACACCCCTACTCTTTTCGAAAAAACCCCTGAGATTTTTAATGACCACAGAGAGTCAGGACCTCGGTTTTATGTCTCATCCGAAGGACGACGCCTGTTTTACAATATAGTATCCCTGTCACTATACTGGGGCATTAGGACCTACATGGGCCCCAGGGTGAGCGCCCCCTGCTGGCCCCACTAAGACCTCTTCCATCAGCAACCTTTGTTTTTCCCAGGAGGTCTCCAATCCAGGTACTGACCAGGCTCACACCTGCTGAGCTCCAGTGAGCTGCCAGTTGTGAGTGATACGGGTGCTTATTCCCTTCACACCAGTCCTACAGGTACCCCCAGAACTGCACCCACCCTGGAAGTGTACTCCCGCCCCACAACCGCACTCAGCCTAGGTTCTAACACAACTGCACTCAGCCTAGGTTCTAACACAACTGCACATTTCTCCGTCACTTCTGCAGGTGCCCTTAGACCAGCACTCCTTTACTGTGCGCTCAATACTTACGCGACATGACGCTGTCGACGTACTGAGGGAGGTACGGCGCCCACAGGTCTATGGTCTCCTTCCGGCCTGCCTGTCCGATCCTACGCAGTTCGGCCAGTAGTAGGGCCTGCGCGGCCTCCCTCACCTGCAGTACAACATGGGAATGTGAGCACAGTGCCTGCAAGGCCACACAGTGCAGGTCAGCAGTGGTACTGGAACACAGCAATCACTGCATCCTGGCCTATACAATGCAACAAGATGCCTCGGTTGGGTTTTTTTAAATCCAACTGCAAATGCTGCTCAGATAAAATGAATATGAGATTTTAATTATATGAACCAGGGTTTCACAATTCAATTCCTGGGGGGGCCATTAACAACCCAGGTTTTAATCCACCCAGCAGTGTCTTATCATGCGTTTTATATCTACATCTACACTGGCTTACATTACACACACAAAACAAGGGCCTTAGATTTTTCAACCGAAGCCAATGTTTTAAATGCAGTTTTTAAAGCACACAATGAGGTGTTAGGACAAGGGGAAGGATGAAATGTGAATGATTGCTCAGAAAAACACTGAAAACACTGAAGTGCACAGGAATAAATATGACAGTGTCTCTTCCCTCTGCAAAGCATGTAACTTTTAAGCATCCAGTCTCTTATCACATTAGCCACAGAAAGCAAACCTGTGCTTGGGTGTAATTCAAACTGTACGTAAACAATATTGTTCATTATGGATGCAGAAAGACAAAAGTGCTCCCAAGGATGTGCATAAAAGACACTGAAGCACGCTTCCCTCTGACATTATCACTGCATCCACTGTGTCACAAACCCCATAAAAACATTTGCATAAGTACGATCTTCAAGCATGAGGGGTGTTGAGACACCCTTGAAGCAGCAGAATACTCATCCACTCTCATTACAAGGGAAAAGTGTGACGTTACAAACATTTCAGACCTGGGGAGTCCTCTGTGTGGAGTATGCAAGATCTCCCTGGGTTTCTCTCACAGTCCAAAGACAGACTGGTAGGGTAACTGGCTTCTGGGAAAATTGTGATGTCATCAGGTGTAGTGTTCTTTCCCACCCAGCAGGTTCCTTATTGGATGGCCATTCTAGTTTATTGACCCTTGACCCTGCATGTAGGGTCCCAACAAGATGGGTTCGCCCCTCAGGGTTGCAGATAAAGAGCTACTGAGGTGTTGGGCTCTTCATTACTGAAGATGTCAAGATGGGTTCTATTTACAATGTCCTGGTTTGTGTTACAGAGTCAGAACATGCAGCCCATCAGAAAGTACCATCTAATAAGCCTTGCCCCTGCTGCATAAAGCAAATTCAATGAATTAATATAACTCGTACCTCAAGCTTGTTTCAATGTGTCCTGCCAAACTGTTGAATACTTGCAGTTTACCACATTAACAACAACCACTTATAACCATGCCTGACATCACTGTATTGTTATCCATTGGGAGGAAGGGTAGGTCAGGCAGTGGTATGTAAAATCATTTTCAATAATCCATTACAAATGTAGTTAGGCTAAATTAGTTTATTGAATCAAAATGCATGTGTGGTACATATTTATGAACTGGAGCCCAGTAATTGCTTCCTGCACTCCATAGCTGTTGCCCCAGTGCTCAAAAAAGCTGTTATCAATGTGGCTATCTGATTGCATGCTCTCATGTATTCATGGTAGACATTTTGCTGTGATGTACACCCATGCATGCCTCTCCCTCATCTGTGAACATAGCAATCACTAGCATAGGTAAGTGCAGTTCACATGATCTCTCAGGACGTGCCCCATACTGTTTCTCACTGGCTGCTCTTGCAGTCTGCAGTTGCTTCTCCATATGATCCCAAATTTAACCAATCATGTTGCATGTGCATACTGTCCCTTAAAGGGATTGTTGCCTGCCTGCCCCGATCTCTCCAGCTTATTCAACAGTAAAAGACATTTCAGCTATGCTAATAAACACATTTCCAGAACGACTCTTTACCCTTTGGTGCTAAAGTCTTTGTGTTTTCGCTCGCTTCAACAGAATAGGCCCCTCACTGTCCAGAAGCATTTTAAGCATCCTGTTTGGTTGAGTTACAGATTTACATATACAGTAAATACACCTTTGTTGACTCAGAATAAAGTTTAAACCAGTTTTTATTAACCTTATCGCTCCGAGAAACAATTCT